AGTGAGCCAGTTACTTGGAAATGCTCAGTGTGCACTGATCCAGCCTGGTGGGATTGCAAAAGATGAAAGAATAATCAGAGAATCACTTCTGCTTTTATCTCTCAGATATTGCATGTCTGTCTCATTCTGAAGTTGGATTTCACTCTCAGATCATTTCCCTGTTCTTTTGGGGTTATCCCTCAGGACATCCTGTTACAGTGATGAAAGCAAAGCCTGGTAAAAATGAGAGAAGAGAAGCTGTAGGGGATCAGTAAATCCAGTTGCACATTGGGAAGAGCTTCGGATGGGGGTTATGATCTGAGAGGCTCAGATATGCCTTGTTTTCTAATTATCTTTCGTGTTTCAGTATAGAGGTAGAGAAGACAGAACATGGGTATAACTGACATGGATCTCATGACAGCTCACATTATTTTGGTGCTGTCTGTTTCTCAGAATCTCTTCTTTTACCTCAGTTGCTGCTGAGACTGGCCCCTTTCAGATGTGATCTCTCCCTGCATATTTTCCTAACAGAATTTACCTGACAAGCAACTTTGCATTACCTAGCTAAAGCAGAGTAGACATGATGGAGACTGACTTTTTCCAGACCTCATTCCCCTTTGCTGTCTCCCTTGAAGTCTGGCTTGTGTCTTCCAAAGACATTCTATAGCTCTTTTCTTTAAATAATCCTGTATAAGCTAACAAAACTAATCTGAGGTAGTTTTTTCCAGTCAGATATGGAAGGAGGACAATGCAAATAAGTTGAGAAGTTGGTGAGAATATTTCAGGTCAACAGCTGTGAGACTCCAGTCATATTTCCCAGCTGAGAAGACCTTAATGAAAACAGTTTAAATCTGTTGAACAGGGAGAAAACAGTAATCACAAGAAGAAGGTGAACACTGAGAATCTGTCGTTGCTGGTAAAACAGACATTTACCCCAAGGGATTCCTAAAGCTGTGAAATACTTTCAATCTTGGACACATGAATTGTGTTTTAATTTTTGGTGGTGGTCCAGGTCACAGGAAGTAGGTGGGTCAGACTTCCCACTCCATATGGGCCCAACATGATCTCTCCCTCTTGGTGTTTACACCTTTGAATGATTAGTCCCTTACATATTGTTCCAGGGTTGGTCTATGATCAATTGGATATGGAAAAAGTGAGGGTGTGTTGCTTCCAAAATTAGGTCATAAAATACACTGGGACTTATATTGGATTCTCTTCTCCCTTTGCCTTCCTCTTTCTCTTTCTTAGGTCACTTGGTTGGGGAAAGTTAGCTGCCATAGTGTGCCATATTGTGGTAGACTTCTTATGGAGAAGTCTACCACTGAAATCTCTTGCTAACCACTAAGTGAGGTTGGAAGAAAATCATTCTTTCTCAACCACACCTTGAAATCACTTAAGTTCTTGTCCAGCTTGACTGCATATTCATGGGAAATCCTGAACCATTTAGCTAAGCCTCTCCTGGATTCATGATCTCACAAATCATACATTTTTATTGTTTGCTGCTAAGTTTTAGAGAAATTTTTTAGAAAGCAATAGATAATTAATATACTGCTTGACCCTCCAAACAGATGGCTACTCTCTCCATTTTTATTCTGAAAGTATGTCTACCACTGCAAAGATCTTCCTGTTGAAACCCATACTCTGCCAAAAATTCCAGATAAATAAACCAGCTGTAGGAAAATTTTCTCAAAGTGGTTGAGGATCATCCAAATACCATTAAAAAAACAACTGTTAAATTTATTTGCAGTTTGCCTTTCTGCCAGCTAGTTATAATCCATTCCTGAATCTGTGGCCCATGATTACCAAATAGCCGACAGTCATATTCTCTCTTCCACAGTGATGAAACAAAGACTTTGGCAGAAATTATGACTTCAGAACAATAACAATTATTGAACATTTCTTTTCTACTGACTTCTGGTAGCGTGGGTTGGTCTGGTAGTGTAAGTCTTTATACGAAGACAAAATTTTCTCTCTGCTACAAGTAGCAACAGACAAAGTATCAGTACTGAAGGTGAGCATGACCATGAACTTAGAGTTCTCCAAAATTATAGTATTTGTGTTCTCTGTTGTTGCATCACAAATTATTGCAAACAGTAGTGTAAGGCAACACAGATTTAGTATCTTTCCATTTCTTTGGTTCAGTGATCTAGCCATAGGTTACCTGGATCCTCATTTCAGGGTATAGTGAAGGGGTTGGCCAGAGCTGTGACCTCATCTGAGGTTTGATCTGCTCTTCCAAATTCACTACTTAAGCCCACTGAATTTAGTTCCCTGTGATTGTAGAATTGTGACCATCAACTTCTATAACCTACTTGCTATTTTCTGTTATGTGACCCTCTCCCCACCGTGGCAGTTTGCTTCTGCATGGGCAAAAAGAGCATCTCCTGCTTCTTTGAATCTCTCTGATTCTGTCTCTAACCTCTGAATCTTCCTGTAAAGATCTTGCCTAATTAGGGCAAGCCCACCCAACATTAACTCCCCTTTGATTTACTGAAATTCACCTTCTTTGGAACCTTAATTACATCTGTCAAAATCCCTTTATCTGTGCCATATAATATAACCACTTATGGGAAAAAATTCCCATCATATTCACAATTTCTACCCAAACTCAAGTTGTGGGGATTATTGGGGCAAGTGTAGCAGCGGTTGGGAATCTTGGGAGGCCATCCTAGAATTATACCTATCACAGTGCTTCTTCCAACATCCAGTGAGAATAACTGGTGTTCTGGTATCAGGTTCAACATTTCTGATGCCTGCAATATTCTGTCCTTTGTCTAACAAAAGGGAAATATTTCTAAACTGGCTGCTTTATTCCATAAGGCCAAGATAGGAGGAATGTTGGTTGTTATGGGAGAGAGTGGTAGTAAGCATTACTAAAGGCTTTCACTGCCTACTTGACCTCATTTGGAAGTTTTAAATCTTTCCTACATGAGGTGAATGAGAATATGCAGCCCTGCTTTGTGTTTTGGTCTGGACCTTTGTATCTCGATTGAATCACGTCTTGACTCTGACATAAACTATGCCTAATGTTAAGCTCAGGGTAATGACTCTTATGTTGTGGCCACTGGCTATCTGTCTAAAGTAGGCATTGAGTCTTATTCTATAGAGGACTCAGGGAAAGACAAGACAAAGCCTTGTGCAATGTATGGCCCATTGGGTGGTCTCTCACATAGAAGAATAGTTTGTGTTTTTTTTTTTTTTTTTAAAGATTTATTTATTTATTTATACAAGCACTGGGTACAGTCAGAGCGCAGGTGGGTGATTGGATTCACCAGAGCGGGCAGCAGAGCAGGCAGATCGGCGAAATACACTGCTGAGGGGAGCAGTGGGCAGCAGGAGAGGTCTGCGTGCTATGTGGGACCCTCGCCCGGCGGCCGGGGATCGAACTGGTGCTGCAGAGGCTGCGGGCAGCTTCGCAACCCAGCGCTCAACCGCTGCGCCACCGGGGAGGCCTAGTTTGTATGTTGCATGTGCAGGTTAGCCTACCAAACGTAGGTGGCTTACTAGGACCCTGTGGAATGCTTCTGGGTTGATGCTGCCTGTGATTCTGTCACAACAAAGATCCTGATCTCCAGGCATAGCTTCAAGATAGTATGGGTTCAGTTTCAGACCACGGCGAATACAGCAAGTCACACTTTTTTTTTTTTTTTTGCTTTTCCAGTGCATACCAAAATTAGATCTATATTGTATAGTAATCTCTTAAATGTACAATGCATGATGTCTAAAAAACCAAGGTGTTTAATTTAAAAATACTGTTCCTAAAAATGTGTACCATCATCTGAGCCTTCAGTGAGTTGTGTGTCCAGCCTCCATGTTGATGGCAGCTGGCAGGCAAGATGGTGGTCCCTGGAGGCTGGTGACTGTGGGATTTTCTTACATATGACAACAATGAAACTTGCTGTTTTGATGGACTCCTTCACAAAAGGTTTCTCTGTAGCACGTGGTATTGTTTGATAGCATTTTACAAACAGATTTCTTTCAAAACTAGAGTCAGTCTTCTCAAACCCAGACACTGCTTTAGCAACTAAATTTATGTGATATTCTCAATTATTTGTTGTCATTCAACAATATTCACAGTATCTTGCCCAGGAATAGATTTCATCTCAAAAAAAAAAAAAAAAAAAAAAAAAACCAAAACCAAAAAAGCCTACTTTCTTTGCTCGTCCATAAGAAGCAACTCCTCATCCGTTGAAGTTTTATTTTGATATTGCAGCAATTCGTCGCATCTTCAGTCTCCATTTCTGGCTCTTTTCCTTCTGTGTCTATGTTCAGTATAATGACTAATATTGCTATTATTGTTTTTATTTCCCCCCACCATCATCCCATATATCCCCTTGTTCTTTTCACCCTTTCTCCCTTTCTTTTCTTAATGTCCTCTCCCCACTTCGCCCCACTTCATTTACTAATGCCCCCCCCCCAGTTTTCATATAATATTTTGTCAAATTTTCCACTACGTAAATGGCCAGTGTTTGTCTGACTTCTTTACTACACACAATTCCCAAAACTCCTCCATTTTGCTGTGGGTGGCAGCATTTCATCTTTCCTTATGGTTGAACAGTATTCTACAGTGTGGCTGTACCCCATCTTCTTGATCCAGTTATCTATTGATGAACATTTAGGTTGCTTCTGCGTCCTAGTTATTGTAAATAGTGAGGCAATAAACATTGTAGAGCATATATATATTTTGTGCTAATGGTTTTGTGCTCTTTGGAGAGATGCCTGAAAGTAGGTTTCTGGGTCGTACAGTATTTCCATGTATAGTTTGAAAAGGTAAATCCAAATCATTCTCCATAATGGCTGCATCAGTTTACATTCCCACCAACAATGAAGTAGGCTTCCTCTTTCTTTAAATCCTCTCCAGCACTTGTGGTTGAAAGTCTTTTTTTTTTTTTTAAGATTTATTTATTTATTTATTTTTACTTAAAAACTCAATTTTATTTTTTCTACCCTAGAGCAAGATACCTAACACATCACCATTTGTTTTGTAATGGATTATTATCTCTTTTGCCAAACTATAGAATACATCTTTGTCACAGATATGCCCACTTTCTGTTTTACTAAGAAAGAGGTATTTAATCTTATAAAAGTTTCTTTCCCACAGAGAAATGCCACAACTGCTACAACAAGAACAGTTGCAGACCAGTAGCTGTGGAATAAAAAGATTTATTTTTATCTATGCATACAAGATCTGGGGTGTAGGCCACAGGTGTGGGGGTGAGAGGATTCACCAGAGACAGAGTGGGGAACAGAACTGGAAGATTGACCGAAATACACTGCTGAGGGGAGCAGTGGGTGAGACAGGAGAGGTCTGCTGTGCCATGTGGGCAGCTTGCTGGCCGGGGATTGAACTCAGGCCATAGTGGTAGTGATAGTGCTGAGACTTAACCCATAGGCCACCAGGGAGGCCCCTGTTTTTGTTTTCATTTTCATTGCCACAGGAGTTGAGGCTCCAGAAAACATCTTTATCGTTGATGTCATAGAACTTATCGCCATTGTTTTCCTACATATTTTATTGTTGCAGGTCTTATATCTACATCTTTAATCCATTTGGAAGTGATTTTTGTGTATTGAGTTACAGAGTGATCCAACTTAATTCTTTTATTTGTGACCTTCCCAATATCATTTATTGAAGATACTCCCTTTTTCCCATTGTATGGTCAAAGATGCTTTATCCTAGATTAGATACTGATATCTATCTATCTATCTATCTATCTATCTATCTATCTATCTATCTATCTATCTATATGCATTTATTTCTGACAGGCTCTACTTGTAATTGTGGTTCTCTTGCTATTTCCAACACATTTGGTTACTTCTCCCACTGAAGTCTTTCCTCATTCCTGACGGTTGGACTCAATTTCTTCCAAACTCTTGTTATGTTGATATTTTGACTTCCCATGAATCAGGAATGTTCTTAATGGCATCTAAAATGGTGACTCCTTTCCAGAAGGTTCTCAGTGGACTTTGCCCAGATGTGTCTGAGGGATCACTATCTATCAATGGCAGATGTAGCCTTATGATATGGATTTCTTAAATAATAATAGACCTGCAAGCCAAAATCATGTTTTTGGTTGCATGGGCTGCAGAATGTATAAGGTGTCAGCCAGCCTGAAAACAACATTAACTTCCTTGTACATCTTAGAGTTTTTGGGTGACCAGATGCATTGTAAAGGAGCAGTAATCTTTTTGAAAGAAATCTTTTTTTTTCTGAGCAGTAGATCTCAGCAGTGGGCCTAAAATGTTCAGTAAGCCATTGTTGTAAGCAGATACGTTGTCACACAGGTTTTCTTCTTTTCCACAATTGGCTGGCTGTAGAATAATTTGTGGGGCTATACAAATTTTCGGATTGTGTTTTATATTTCTGTGAAAAATGCCACTAGGATTTGGATGGAGACTACATTGAATCTGTACATGAGTTTGATAATATGAATGTCTTTTTTAAAAAATTTTATTTATTTTTTCAATGTTTTTTAATTTAAATTTTATTTTTATATTTCCCATACAATTACAACCCCCTTATTTTGACCCCAATCCCTCCTTTCCCCACCCCCCAACCCCCATAGAGTGTCTCTGGTTCATAGTTGTTTGTTGATTTTGATTTTTTCTTTCTTATATTTATTCTTTTTCCTGGTTACTTATTTAAGTTTTCTAGATTCCTGCTATGAGTGAGACCATCCGGTATTTTTCTTTTTCTTTCTGGCTTATTTCGCTGAGCATGATCCCTTCCAGCGCCATCCATGTTGCTGCAAATTGCATGTGTTTATTTTTTTTGAATGCTGAGTAATATTCCATGGTGTATATGGACCACATCTTTTTGATCCAGTCACCTATTTTTTGGGCATTTGGGTTGTTTCCAAAGCTTAGCTATTGTAAATAGTGCTGCTATAAACATAGGGGTGCAGGGCCTCCCCGGTGTGCAGTGGTTGAGTGCTGGGTTGCGAAGCTGCCCGCAGCCTCTGCAGTGCCGGTTCGATCCCCGGCTGCTCCCCGGCCACTGGAGGAGGGTCCCACGTGGTGCTCAGACCACTCCTGCTCCCCGCTGCTCCCCTCAGCAGTGTACTTTGGTCCTTCTGCCTGCTCTGCTCCCCGCTCTGGCTCTGGTGAATTCTCTCACGCTCCTGTGCTTCTGACTGTACCCAGTGCTTGTATAAATAAATAAATAAATCTTTAAAATAAATAAATAAATAAATAAAATAAACATAGGGGTGCAGGTGCTCATTGGAATTGATGTTTCTGTGTCCTTTGGGTAAATACCTAGGAGTGGAATTGCTGGATCATATGGAAGCTCTATGTTTAGTAGGTCAAGAAATCTCCACACAGCTTGAGTGTCTTAACAATATTAATTCTTCTGATCCATGAACATCTTTTCAGTTGTTTTGTTCTTCAATTTCTTTCATCAAAGTCTTATAATTTTCTTTGTATTGATCTTTTACTTCCTTGAGTTTCTGTCTTTTATTGTTTTTGATGCAATTGTAAATGTAATAGTTTTCATTATTTCTTTTTCACGTTTCACTGTCAGTTTATAGAAATGCAACTGATTTCTGTGTATTCATTTCATATGCTCCCAATGTACTGAATTAACTCCTCCTAGCACTGTTTTAAAAAAGTCTTTAGGGTTTTCTACATACAAAATCATATCTGCAAGGGCATCCTTGCCTTGTTCCTAATCTTAGAGGGACAACTTTCAAGTTTTGCATCACTGCATGTAATGTTACAGGTTTGTCATATGTAGCCTTAAGTATGTTGAGGCATGTTTCTTACCCACTTTGAGGGTTTTTATCATGAAAAGATGTTGTGTTTTTCAAATGCTGTTTATGTATTAATTGTGGTGATTTTATGAATTTATTTGATTTTCTAACTAATCTTTATATCTTTTAACTAATGTCCTCTTCTCCTTTTGTTTTCCTCGACTGCAGATGCTATTGCATTTTTTATTTCATTTATTGAGTTGATTCCAGAACATATGTTTGTTTCTTTTTATGATTCTATTTAGTAAACATTCATTTTGAACTTGTATATTTTTGTGATTTTATTAATTTGTCTGACTTTTTTTGTAGCTCATTTTTCTGCTTCTAACTGTTTTGCATTCTTTATCAGTTAGGGTGCAAACGTCTGTGAGCTTGGTTTTTGAAGAACTATCTTTTTGTGATAATTTCTTGATTTTTGTCATCGTCCCTGAAGCTTTGCTTTTCTACTTTCACATTTGTAGTAGCAAACATCTCAATATTTACTAGCTGCCTTTAGAATGTGCTGTTATTATGTAGACTTTCCTGTGTATGGGTTCACCCATTTCACTCTTCTTGCCCTTCCTTGTGGCAGAATTCTCAAACTTTTGTGTCTTCCTGGTTCTTACAATACCAGGCTTTATATTTGAAACCTGTCGTTTGTTTTCCAGATAGTGATGCTAGTTCAAGTGTGTGGTTTCTCCCTACCCACAGACCCTGGCCTGTTTCCTAAGTGCAGCAAATTCTACTGGAGTTTGCTCTTATCACTATAGTGGGAAGATCACACAAGGAACCTGTCACAGAGTGGGGGAGGTAGAGTTTAGCACTTGAGGTAGTGGGGTTGTCCACATGTCAGTAGGGGGATCCCCAGGAATGGAATGCCCACAGGCTCATATGTGGACTTCCCTGCTTCTTTCTGATCTCCTCCCTATTCCCTGCCATGTAGGTCCTGCTTCAACTCTGGGTGCTGCTGGAAAGACACAGGCGTCTCCAGCTGCATTGTGTGCCATTGGGGCATCTGGGCACTTACCACTCTCCTTTTCCCTTGTGGGAGAGGTCACCTCTGCCTGATCTTGCAGCCCACAGTGTTGCTTGTGGTGGGGAACAGTAGTAGTAAAGTTCTTCTTACCGTGTTTATTGCATCCATACTTAAAAAAATTCCAATGGTGTGCAGCAATCTCCCGTTGGGAAGGCTGGAGTTGTGTAAATTTTTTTTCTTACATGGGTGTCAGTTCAGGACAGCAATCTCTAGACTTTCTCTGACTGTGGGGAGTGTTTGGGCAGCTTCACTGCTCTGCTGTTTCCATGGTACAAACTGAGGTCTATTACTGGATGTATACATGGGAAATTTTTTTTTTGGTTCTCATGCATATGGCACTTGATCCCAGAACTCTCACAAATGTGCTTCAGTTCATACATGGATTCCAATTCTTTGTTGAAAAGGGAGTACAAGTAAGGAATGTCTGACACTTCCATGATATATCTTTCTCTTCAGCTTCTTCATTTAAAAGTTCAATTTGACCAATTCTTAAACTTGGAAAGAATTACCATAATTCTAATGTCAGAAACCTATCTACTAAGGTATCCAGTGTTACTGAATTACTGACTTGATCCAATCTGGTAAACACTTTCTAGTCTCAGATTTGACTATATTTTCTACTCAGTGCCTATTTCAACAGTCTCTCACATGTGATTTGTCTCTACCTTTGGAGGAATTAAAACAACAACAAACCTTTAACCACCTTCCCTTGCAGTACTTCAAAGTCCTGTCATTCCACACAATCTTTGCTGAAAAGATCTTAACCACATTCAACTTCCTCTAGAAGCATAGGTCCACACTCTATCACACTGATGACATCCTCTGAGAATTTTTCTGTTCCATTCAATCAGGACACAAAGATAATCACAAAGGAGCTCACAAAAGATAATTACAAATTGGCTCACACATAGTATAAAGTCCTACTATCTTAGTTAAATTCCTGATAATGAAGTTGAGGACCCTCCATTCGTGAGACTGTTAAGAAACAATGATTGACCATCTCAGCACCCATAACTTTAAAACAAGTCCAACATCTATCCTTTTTGCGTTCTGGAGGCAAGGTATTGTTCATTTAATTTTTACCTTAACTCCATTTATACTATTATTACAAAACTGGCTCAACTCAATAGGACCCTATACAATACAAGACTGCTATGTGTCCACATTATAACACAACTGACAATTTGCAAGAGACTGTAGCATGGAGGCAGTAGCCACCTTCCCTCATGCCTCTTGCAATCTCTGGACCAATCATAATAACCATAGTTACCTATGAATTTCTGGTTCAAGAAACCACTTTCTTGTTCACAAATAATACACATTTAAAATAACAGTTGCTGATCACATAAAGGACTCTCATGGAGATTAAGGCTGTCACAGGCACTGAGAAA